CTGAACGTCATCTAAGTCATAACAATAGAAGAACACAGTCTGCTGAACATAATACTACACAAACATTAGATGTTGCCATGGTTTAATTGCACATAACATGTAAACATTCACAGTGCAGGGAGGAAAAAGTATGTGAACCTTTGGACTTAATAACTGGTTGACCCTCCTTTGGCAGCAATAACCTCAACCAAACGTTTCCTGTAGTTGCAGATCAGACCTGCACAGCAATCTGGAGTCATTTTGGACCACTCCTCTTCACAAAACTGTTTCAGTGTAGCAATATTCTTGGGATGTCTGGTGTGAGTCGCTCTCTTAAGGTCATGCCACAGCATTTCAATCAGGTTGAGGTCAGGACTCTGACTGGGCCACTCCAGAAGGCGTATTCTGTGCTGTTGCAGCCATTGTTTTGTTGAATTACTTGTATACTTTGGGTCATTGTCCTGTTGCATCACCCATCCTCTGCGGAGCTTCAGTTGGCGGACAGATGGTCGTACGTTTTCCTGCAAAATGTCTTAATAAACTTTGGAATTCATTTTCCCATCAATGACAACAATCCGTCCAGGCCCTGAGGCAGCAAAGCAGCCCCAAACCATGATGCTCCCTCCGCCATGTTTTACAGTGGGGGTGAGGTTTTGATGTTGGTGTGCTGTGCCTTTTTTTCTCCACACATAGTGTTGTGTGTTCTTCCCAAACAACTCAATCTTGGTTTCATCTGTCCACAGTATATTTTGCCAGTAGTGCTGTGGAACATCCAGGTGCTCTTTTGCAAACTTCAAACGTGCTGCAATATTCTTTTTGGACAGCAATGGCTTCCTCCGTGGTGTTCTCTCATGTACTCCATTCTTGTTTAATGTTTTCTTTATTGTAGATATGTCAACAAAAATGTTAGCATGTGCCAGAGATTTCTGTAGGTCTTTAGCTGACACTCTGGGATTCTTCTTTACCTCATGCAGCATTCTGCGCTGAGCTCTTGCAGTCATTTTTACAGGACGACCACGCCTAGGGAGAGTAGCAACAGTGCTAAACTTTCTCCATTTGTAGACAGTCTGTCTTACCGTGGACACACGAACATCAAGGCTTTTGTAACCCTTTCCAGCTTCATGCAAATCAACAATTCTTGATCGTAGGTCTTCTGAGAGCTCTTTTCTGCGAGGCATAGTTCACATCACACAGTGCTTCTTGAAACCAGTAAACCCAAAACAGGTGTGTGTTTTTTAGGGCAGGACAGCTGTCAGCAACACATCCAATATCATCACACTGATTGGAGTCAAGGTTGGCTCATTCCTGGCTCCAATTAGCTCTGGGAGAAGTCATTAAGCTAGGGCCTCACATACTTTTTCCTCCCTGCACTGTGAATGTTTACATGTTATGTGCAATTAAACCATGGCAACATCTAATGTTTGTGTAGTATTATGTTCAGCAGACTGTGTTCTTCTATTGTGACTTAGATGACGTTCAGAGCACATTTTATGCCCAATTCATGCAAAACTCCACGTAATCCCAAGGGATTCACATACTTTTTCTTGCAACTGTACATAGTGCTATGACTGTTGGTCACATTTGGGGGGCGTTGCCAACTCTCCCAGTGGGTGGGGCCCGGCTCCACATGCCCCGTCTATAGTAGTACCAAAAGACAGCCTATGCGTATCCGCCAATTTGGCCATAAGAAGCACTGCATATGATCCCTAACATCAAACGTAACATTAAACAGATATGCTGCAAACTGAAGCACAGCATTTTTCTTCTTGATACCCTCAAGGCATGTTAAAAATAGAGGTGCGAACCCTACCTATATTTTTTTAAAAAAAAATATATATGGAGGAGTGGCTAAGTGGGCGTGGTTAAAAGCAGACATGGTCTACGGGGGATGTTTCCGGATTTCATTTTGGAAATCTGGTAACTTTACTAAAGGTCCCAAAATTTAATGTTTTTGATGTAAGCTTCTCAAGGGCAAGGACTGATGTCATGTACTGCACAGGGGTGGACTGATCATTTGGAAACTTGGGCACCGCCCAAGGGCCCGGGGACAGTAGGGGGCCCCATGAGATGCCCCTGGTACCTTTTTCATAGGCTTTTTTGAGTTTGGGCAAGGACACAGGGGCCCCATGATCCCCTATTGCCCGGGGGCCCCATGAGTGGTCAGTCCACCCCTGGTACTGCATAGATTGCCATCTCTATAAAAATACTTGGAATAAATAAAATAAAATAATAAAAGGATGGCAGATCTCAGATAGCAAATATGTATGGCATTGGGAAGCTCAGCTTTAGATGTTTTTTTTTTTCTGTGCAGATAATCTGAAATCTTAACACTGTTAGGCAGCAAAGGACGACATTCAATTAATAAGATATAGAATGAGGATAATGTAACATCTATTGACGATAATATGATATAATACAAGGGTAATGTAGCATGGAATAATCCTAATATGATATAGAAGGAGCCTAATGCAATTTCTATTGGGGATAATGTGATAGAGAATGCAGATAATTGCTGTTAGGAGGCTTTTACTGGAAGTTCTCGATGTACGGAGACACGCACCACTGGCCTTTCTGTACATACTTTACACTTAGATCGAGTCCTTCCTTTATTATTCGATCTGCTCACCTATAAAGCCCCTGAGCTCCTATGTAGGATCAGGTACAGACTACACCTTGTCAGGGGTTCATCAGAAAATGCAAGGTGTCAGATTTCCCACCTTCCATCCCAGGCCATTGCATTACTTTTCAAATGGAAAGGGGGTGTTGGAGAAACTGACCCTTCAATGTTCCTTAAAGCAAACTAAGAAATCAGAAAGAAGATTTTCCTTTGTGTAAGCGCTAACCTGGAGAGTGATAGTGTCTACTAGCTATATAGTAATGAGTGGGATCTCTACTTTATAATGGATTTTCATGAAATAAAATGGATATGTTCAAAATGAACTTCTCAGTAAGTTTACAAGTCCATTAATACATTCCTATACAGTGGCCTTTTTACCCCAAAGGAAACCTTTCAATAATTTTCAGGTCTCAGGGAACCCCTAGAAGTGGGTGGGTGGTAGAGAAGGTCTCCTTTAAGGTGGCTCCTCCCCTGGGAGAAGTTTGGGAGTTTAGACGGCACCAAGGAGGAAAGTTGGTCAGACTAGAGAGAAGGCATAACATCTAGCTGCTACGCTCCTTTTCTTCCCCTTATAGGGAGGATAGTAGGGTGCCCTGGGGCTCCCCCACCCTATTCCCTAAAAGAGAAGGTGAGCTACAGCATTGCAGCTCAGGCCTAGAGAAAGGCCTGAGAGTTGGTTTACCCCTCGGTTCCTCTCCTCCCTATCCCAGAAAGAGAAGGAGTAGTGAAACTACAGGGAGTAAGTGCACTTTGGAGAAGGCACGAGCAGCCTTCAGCAGGACCTAAAATCACATGTTTCTGTCATGCTGCCTATGGAACCATGTTGGGGTCTGAGACACGAGAAAGCCTTGTCATCGACAACGTCTGTAACTCCTGGGAGTGAGGTGGTGAAGGTGCACAGCCAGGAGGGTGGAGAGGGGGTTTGGTCTCCAACAACCTCCCACACATCCAGAACAGTCATGGGAAAAAGTTCTGTATTGCCTGGAAGGTCAGTTGTGTTGGGAGTTGGCTCAGCTGCTCTCTATGGCCATACTAGGGCAGCCTACCACCTGCCAACACCCCTACTACGATTAGGCCATTGGTGGTCATCAGGAAAGTGCCACCTACATGGCTGGTAAAATGTGGGAACAAGGTTCCCCTTACAGTGGTGGTCAGAATGCCCCCCTTACAGTCATGCCTATGGTTCTGCAAATGCTGTTGGACTCAAGGAACCCCTAGCCACCCGTGGAGGAGGTGAGAATGACCATTAAATAGGAACAAACAACCCATGTTCACCTAAAACAAAGCCATCCTTGTTCTCCAGGACAGTGACTTTGCCTAGGCTAAGATGATGTCATCTGTGTGCTGCAGGCAGTAGGAAACATTTGTCCAGTCTACATATTGCCATAGTGTAATCAAACCTAGAATCAAACGTATCCCTCCATCAGTCGAATCTCCTGCCACTGGCTGTCAAAATACCTGAACAGTGCCTTCATCTGATTGGATGCAGGCTCTGCATGGCTGGCAATTTTCCACATGGCTCCATGTCAGGTGAGAAGGTACCAACAGGACCACCCCTGGAGCGACTTTCAGCAAGTTCATCAATAACAAAATTTTATGGACAGCTTTCACACCAATGCACTAGGTTAGAGGCTGCAGTAGGGGCTGATCTGTGTCAGACATTAGTGAACACAGGCACCATCAGTTAGATACAGTAGAAAATGACTGATCCAATGGCTTCAATTGCTATTTTGTAACAGGCACAGAATAAGTATGCAGGTTGGGAGTTCTGACTTCACATGCTGCATACTTGTCCTGTGTCAGTCATTCAGAACATTATGAACCCAAAATAGCCAATTTCAGAAGAGGTCAGTAATGGTAGCCAACATATTTCTATCAGTTCAGATTTTCTTTAAAGTGTATGTAAAAAACACCCATAGATCATAAATCGTGTGATTTCCATGCTCTCTGCCTGAGCTGCACTGTTGTCAGTTAGCATTGTTCTCAGGTCTCTATGTGGACTACAGAACACCTCCCCCATATTTTATACAGGTGAGGAAAGGGAGATGAGCTGTGTAGTCCATTGTAATGTACAGCGCTGAGCGAATTGTTGGCGCTTTATAAATACTGTATAATAATAATAATAATAGTCTTGTCCTATGGTGACAATACTGCTTTTCCATAGATACAGTTCAGTGAGTCAGCCCATCTAAGGACTGGTGAGCTGCAATATATTACATTTTTTTGAGTTTTTGGGTTCAGATTGAGTTAAATATTACTGCTAGCTGGTGCTCATACAAACAGCTCCCATTCTGTTCTTCGTTGTCCATTCTCCTCCTAGTACTACCTTGTTGCTATATTCATGTTGACATCTGTCAGGAAAGTGTAGGAACTCAGTAAGGGGCAGGGGTGGACTGACAACTCATGGGGCCCCTGGGCAATAGGGGATCATGGGGCCCATGTGTCCTTGCCCAAACTCAAAAACGCCTATGAAAAAGGTACCAGGGGCATCTCATGGGGCCCCCTACTGACACCGGGCCCTCGGGCAGTTCCCGAGTTTCCAAATGGTCAGTCCGCCCCTGGTAAGGGGTATTTTTCCACTGCTAGTCTCTGGAAATGCTACCTGCCTGGCAATTCTTCCCAAGTCAATGGCCCAGAGACAAGCAAGCAGCAAGTAAAACTGCACTGTGATCATGCCTCACAAGTAACAGGTTCTCTTTGTTTCTGACCTCCTCCTGTCAAGTTGTTGTAACCATCTCCTGCTGTCTGATGTTTGGATTTTTAGGGAGTCTACCTCCATTATATGACTCCGTTTGCAAAACATGACTTATGAGGAGTGGCTCCGCTTTTCTAGTAAACAGACCTCAGAGCCACTTAATAATTAAACATGCATTTAATAGGTGGGGACGACATGAACCTAACTAGCAATCAATATGTCCTAATTAGGGTGCTCCAAAATAACCTCTCAAAGCTGTGGAGAGAGAAGGAAGTCTGGTTTGCCAGAGAGGATATTATCCCTGGGGGGGATGTAATGCTCCAAGCAGACATGACTGTAGCCATTACCAGGCTATCCATCTGTTTGTAGAGTCCTGGAGATCAATGCCTGATGTACTGAGGTCATTGGGATGAGTGTTATGTGCATTAGCCACCAGAGAGGACTGTGTAGCACTCACCTCCTGAAGGAGCTGCTGGATTTTACGGGCTTTCCTAGTCTTTCTACCAGTGATCTGACCTACAACTGACCCAAAGCATCACTGACCCACCACGAAAGACAGACATGCACTCCAGAAAACTTCTCTTTGCAGGCTTAGATGTTTAGGGGATAGATGGTTGGGGTTTGGGATACACCAAAACAGCAGCAAATGTTCCTACTACTCAGTAGATTTGTGTAGTATCTTTGACCTCTTACACAGGCCAAGATTGAACTCTTTTGCCTCCTCCACAGGCTAGTGTAGATTCAGTAGGCCAGAAGGACAGCTCCTACTAGTTATGTTCAGCCTCTCTCACAGTCTAGTAGTGGACTTGTAGGTGAAACAGGTAATCTGTAGTACTGGACTTTTCTGGATGTGTAGCCAGGCCCTAGTGTAAGCCAACTTCCAATATCTGGGCCTTGGCCCTGGAAGTATGTCTTCCCCAGGCACCTGGTACGTGAAGGACTTCGTGTCCAGGAGGTAAAGACAAGGATCCTCCTTTTCAAAGCCTAATGCCAAGTACACACGATCAGAAAATCGGATGATAAATACTGCTTTCCAAGCAATCGTACGATAATCTCATTGTTAGTACACAGCTTTCGGGAGCCAATCACCACAGTTCATGTGAAAATATCTGAAGGGACAAACACAAAAATTTTTCTTGTATGATACAGAATGATTTTCATTTAATCATTACAGTATTCGTTTGAAAAAAATTGGAAGACCAAGATCATGCATACTTGGAAACATCACTTCCAAAGGTGTATTCTGTCGTATAAGAATTTTCGTAACTTTAATAACCTATTGGTTTTTGATATGAGACTAGTATGCAAAAAAAAGGGATGTTGTAGAATGGAAGGACCCTTAGGTATCCCTAAATATTTCTCCTCTTCCTCAGCCTACGTCTCTGACACAACTACTCACAACTCACAAAATTGCATTTTCTCACTCTACCCACTGAAGATCCCTCGCCAGTAACAGTCAGTCAAAACAATGTCTTGGGCAAAGGGAGAACCCAACAAACCCAGATAACAATGACAACTAGAGCTCAGGCTGGCTATATTCTAGTTGAAAACTCTAAATTTGGACCAGCGACACTAGAGCTTCGGGCAGGGCCCCTACAACTGGTATAGTAGAGGTAGGTTTATCGCTTTTATGGCCAGCTCATTCTTGATGTTAGAAGGAACTAGGTCTTTGAAAACACAAGATAGGGCTGGACCAGGGGCAGACTAACAACTCATGGGGCCCCCCGGGCAATAGGGGATCATGGGGCCCCTGTGTCCTTGCCCAAACTCAAAAAGGCCTATTAAAAAGGTACCAGGGGCATCTCATGGGGCCCCCTACTGACCCCGGGCCCTCGGGCAGTGCCCAAGTTTCCAAATGGTCAGTCCGCCCCTGGGCTGGACCAAAGGAGGTTAGAATGTAGGTTAATGACTACACTTTATTTTTTAAAGCGGTTATAAAATCAAAAGGTTTTTTTATCTTAATGCATTTTATACCTTGTCCTCTCTTGATGCAGTGCTGTGCCATATGCAGTGCTGCTGCACTCTCTTGGTCTCACAGGAGACTTTTAGAGCAGTGGGAACCATTGGTTCCTGCTGCTATCAGTCAAATCTCGTGAGGAGGGAGCAGGGGGTGTGGCAGAGCTGCACTGTGTTTGTCTATGGACGCACACAGCCTGGCTCAGAAGCATGCCAGAAGAGGAGGTAATGGGCCACTCTGTGCAATACCATTGTACAGTGCAGGTAAGTATAACATCTTTTTAATTTTATTTAGAAAATAGCCTTTACAACCACTTCAACTATTTCTCATGTTTCACTTTCTTTAGTTGATTAGGTGTATAGAAATGTAGGTCCCTGGTTATACAGGAAGCATGTTAAAAATGGCACAGGATACATAGGTGGTCTCAGATGAGACAGCATGCCTCATAGCTGTTTTGGTGCTTTTTTGTCAGCCTAAACTTTATAAATATGTAAGCCACACTCAACAACTTGGCTCTTCTTTCTGTATTTAATAATTGTCAAAAAAGATGGCACACAATGTCTCAACCTGAAAGAAGTCAGAAAATGTCAGGTCCCGGTAGCAAAGTGAAGCTAAATCAGAGAGGGGCACAGACCATGCCTATCTGACTAATGAAGGTAGTAGCAGGCATTTTGCGTGGGTTCTCTTAAGCAGTTCTTTTAGTTTTAGGGCATAGGAGTAATGCAAGTGCAATTGCACACCATGTTACCATGTATTAAGGATGGCTGTGTTAAGGCAGCATGTTCATTTTGAATGGTCTACAAGACTTTAAGTGTGAAGCTTAAAAAAAAAGAAGCCGTCAATCAACTGATATTTAGAATTTTTAAATTCACAGTTATGTAATATTGGTGGTAAATAAATAAAATACCTGGTGATCTTGCTAGTATCCTGTGAATAGCCTAGTTTCCCATTCCTTTCTGTCAATGCTAGCTATGGGTTCAAAGCCATGGTTGGATTGATAAACATGCGCACTGGTTTCGGTGCTTTGCACTCTACTCAGGTAGTGTCAAGAGAGGTCAATTATCCATGTATTACGTATCAAAAGGGCACCTGGGACCTGTGACATTGGAGCAAGCAGCTGTGAGCTGTTTTTTATTCTCTGCCTCAGCCCTTGGAGGTGATGGGAGAAGAGGGGCCCTAGCAGTCACCTGACTGCCAAAAAAACAGTCAATTTGTTTAACAGCTCTGAATCTTATAGTAATATATTTACTATCCCTGGATATGACAGATTTATTTCAGGTACTTATATAGCACCATCAATTTACACAGCGCTTTACATATATATATTGTACATTCACATCAGTCCCTAACCCTCAAGGGGTATACAATCTAAGGTCCCTAACTCACATTCATACACATACTATGGACAATTTAGACAGGATCCAATTAACCTACCTGCATGTCCTTGGAGGAAACCAGAGTACCCGGAGGAAACCCATGCAGGAACAGGAACAGGAAGAACATGCAATCTCCAGGCAGGTGGTGCTGTGGTTGGGATTTGAACTGGTGACCCTAGTACTGCCAGGCGGAAGTGCTAACCACTAAGCCACTGTGCCACCCACAGATACTGGAGCATAAAATAACAGACCTGTGCCTTTTTCCAACATACTGCAACACCGCAGTTATAATCCACATGTGTGTGTTATGGTGTGTTCGGATGCATATGCATTCATCTGCACAACCAAGCTGCGTTGGGATGCCATGCACCATACTATGGATCATGGGCTTCACTTAAATTTTGAAAAAGAATAAAGTTTAAAGCAACCTTTCTCAACTTTTTTACCCAAGAGGAACAGCTAGAATAATTTTCAGATCTCGGGGAACCCTGACTAAAACCAGTTTGTTGGGGGGCAATGGGTAAAATGTCCCTATACATTGACAATCTGTAGGAAAAAATGTCCCCCTTACAGTGGTGGTCAGAAATCTACCCTTACAGACAGCTAAAGAGATAATTGGTGTCCTGCTCCTGGCTTTTACAAGTGGTGCTGCTCCCGGAACTATCCTGGTACCATCAAATGTGAGGTCAGTCAGTCAAAGCTCAAGGAACCTCTACCAACTTCTGGAGAACCCTAGGGTTCCATGGAACCTTGGTTAAGAATGGCTGCCTTAAAGTGTATATATGCTCCAACAATTAACTTCAACCAATGCAAGAGTACCTCATGATCCTGCCAGAAATGCAGTGCTGTCCTCTTTCCTATGCTCTCTGCTACATTCTTATCAGTTAGCATCCTTTCCAGACAGGGGCGGACTGACCATTTGGAAACTCGGGACTCCCCGAGGGCCCAGGGTCAGTAGGGGGCCCCATGAGATGCCCCTGGTACCTTTTTCATAGACTTTTTTGAGTTTGGGCAAGGACACAGGGGCCCCATTATCCCCTATTGCCCGGGGACCCCATGAGTTGTCAGTCCGCCCGTTTCCAGCTATTTCATTGGTCTACAGAACACCTCCCTCCTATGTTATGGAAATAAGAGGGGCAGGTGCTCTGTAGTTCTAAAATTTCTCCCGTACCAGGGTGACAATGCTGTACCTCCATGGATACAGTACAGTGAAGGGAGTGTTGTCACCCCAAGACAGGTAGTGCTTTACTGGCAGGATCAACTGGTAAAAAAAAAAGAAAATTTAATGCAGCCATCACACCTAAGGACTGATGAGCTGCAATATATTAAATTTTTGTTCCTAGGTTTAGATACACTTCAAACCAGGTCCAGCTATGTTGCCAGACATTAGTATGCCATCCTTTGGTTGGAACAAAACTAATAATATCTTAAACTGACAAACCTTATTTACAAAACCAGCCATAATAAGAAAGTAAAATAAAACACCTTGCTTCATTTCACAATTCCAGTCCTGATAAACTATCATTATGCGTCTTTATGA